CATCATCATTTTCTTCAATTACTAATCACTGGAAGCGCACAGGCAATCTCTGGGAGGGATGAGGAAGAGTGAAAGAAAGGGAGGAAGCACTACAAAGGCACCTGTCTCAGAAATCTGCCTGGGACTCTGAACAGGCAGGCATGGAAACAGATGGTGGCCCAGGGCCAGTCCCGTAATCCCGATCTGAATCATGTTCTTTAACTAACTCCCGGGCACCCCTTTCCTTATGCATTCAACTGGAAGCTTCTTAAGGACAAGACTCTGGGTTTGGGAGAAAACCCAGCAAGCTGGGAAGAGAGCAAGCTGGCAGCCATGCCTAACTCATCACAACTCCTGGGCACACTTGGGCAAGTCACTCACCCTCTCTATGCCACAGAATGCTTACTACAGAGGACGACAGAGGACTGCAATGAAGATTAAACAAATTCATATTCAAACAGTAACTGTGAGCTACTGATCATCTTCATAGCCCCGTTAGGGGCCCACTGGCATAATGAGTCTCACACTGCATGTTCATTAAGTATTTGCAGACAGAATGATCTTCCCTTGGTGTTGTTTTCTCTGCCCCTCTTACTCCTATCCTAAACTTCTTAGCCCCTGTGAAAGTTATATAAGTCACTGCCTTCATTCTAAGTCATCCAGGGGCAACACAAATATCCAGGCCAAAAACAAACAAATAACTCAGGCTACGAAAAAATTCTTAAAAATGCTCATTTCCCTAATTACATTCAAACAGACTGTTCACTAACACCAATGGAAACAGATAATTTTCAGCTTTTCCCTTCACTTTGAGCCATGAAGTCTTAGGCTTTCTCCCCAGAAGTGAGGCTCAGCAATTCCACGTTTCTTCAATAAAGTATAAATGAGAAGCCAATTTGTTCAGAGCTGTGTCTAGTAGCTTGGTATACACATATATATAGATCTCTATCTATCTCTATATATAACTCTCTTACTTAAAAGAGTCTGCAGAAAGTCTCTTGGAAATCTTCTAAAGTTACAGAACACACCCACATTAATGTGATTTCTCAAAGTACTGAAAATGAATTGCCGCAAATGAACAATTGCTACAGAGTCAAGTAGATAGCACAATGTGATTTACACATATCACATGAGATGAATAAATCAACAGAGGAAAAGATCAAAGGAAATGGTAGAATTGTTAATGTGTACAGGGCTCCACTCAAAGTCTTCTTAATAAAATTGTTTAGAGGAAAATAGAAGAATCATTTGTTTAAATGAAAAGAGGTACTGCATGTGCTGAATCTCAAAAGCAGCATTCATTTTCATGCACGCAAATATTACATTTAGCTAAAATTAGCTCAGGTTCCTATTTTTTCAAAGGTCTTAAAGGAATAAAGGTTTTCAACATGATTTCATTGAGCTGCAGTTCAGCACTGGGTTTCCAAGGAGCCTGTGCTCTGGTGAAAGATCCTCCCCGTTATCCGCCCACACCTCACCCCAATTCCTCCCATTCTCACCCTCTTCTCACACCACGCCTTAAAGAGGAGGCCCAGGCAGGCTGTCCCACCCTCCTCCTCATACCTTCTCTCTCTGCACTCTACCCCAGCTCAGGGCATCCTGAAACTGCATCATTTCCTCCTGTAAGTTCAACTCTCAGACAGCACAAGAGCCCAAAGCCCAATTTCAAAGACCATTTTTCTGCCAGTGCCTCCCCAAATTGATCCATGGACTGACCTCTCAGCAGTCTTATTCCCACACTCCCTACTGCGTGCCTGACTCCAGGAACTCAGATGTCCCCCAGCACCTGTGCTGCAGCCCCAGAGGCCTGGCCACTTACACACTAAGCACTTGCTTGTGTGGTCCTAGCCACTTCAATGGCTTTCCTCCAGCTCTACTCATCTCCTCCTAGAGAATGCAAACCAACTCCCAGAGACCTCAAAGGAGCCTCCTCTCAAAGTCTTTCCTGATTCCTCCTACACAGGCAGCGTCACTCTTCTGAATCCCTTCCAGGTAGAGGGGACCCCAGGAAACCCAACTGCACCCATTCTGCTTCGTGTTACTTATTTTTGTGCATTTCTTCTTTCCCCTGCTTGACCACAAACAGAACACACCTCCTTCCAGTAGCTCTTACTTTCATTTGCACAGCACCATGAAGTAGTTTTAAAAAGACACACAATGAATGAATAAATGAATGAATCATTTCTTACATAGATAGCAACTGTGAACAAGTTAGATCATAACTTGCTGTATATCTATATCATATTTATAAAATAACTAGAACCAAAAAAAATGCAATCCAGACTTTTGGAGGTTTTTTCTTCAAAAAAAAAGCTTAATGAATATAATAGAGTACTACATAAATAAACATATTTCCCTGCCTGGGTTTAGTCATCCATTGTGACGATTATAACAAGGCCATTATTTATGCAAAATGTTTAGATAATGTGTATAAGCTTCCCTTAAATGCAATCACAGAAAATGTCAGTCACTTAAAATTCAAGGTGACTTTGCAGTATTTTGTCAGTAAGACAACATGAGTACTCATAAGACACTTCGGTTTGCTTCTTGGACTGGACACACCTGGCCTCTTCTCTATAAGCTGGGTGTGCAGACCCTGAGAGAGGCCTTCTTGCTGCCTGGTTTTCAAAATACAAATCTCAAGATACTTTGCTATGACCAATGACTCTCTTTAAGTACCAGAAGTTTAAAGAAATAATCAAAGGTGGATTCACCCCATATACAACTGAACCCACAGTCCCATACGAGTCAGTGTGAGGATTTTCTGCCTGGCACAGAATGTCAAGTGGGTGACACCCCAGAGAAAGCACAGCAGGAAGACACTCCCTCATCTCTTTCCAGTAGCTGACACCTGGAAATCTTAAAGAGGCTTACAGGGCAACTCTAGGTCACTCTCTTTCCATTTAAAGAGCAACTCTCTAGTCCACAGCAAATACAATGTAAAGGAGCCAGATTTATAACCGAGAGGAACACAATGTTTGTGATCAATGCCTCCCACCTCTTCCTGTTCCCCTAGAAGACTTCTTCAACTGATCCATCTGAGACTTAATACTTCAGTCACTCAGACAGACCACACGCGATTCCATCTACGTATGCAATTCATCTTTTTATTTTTCTTTTGCACGCAGTTCTGGGAACTGAACCGAGAGCCTTTGCACTCAGCTGCTATATACCCAGCACACTCTCTTTAATGTTTTGGTTTTTTTTTTTTTTTTTTTTTTTTTTTTTTTTTTACCTTTGACACAGGGTCTCCTTAAATCACTAAATTAATCAGGTTCCCTGGGCTTATGATCCTCTTACAGGTGTGTGCCACCACATCCAGCTCTTCAGTTTATCTTATAACAACATAAACAATGATAGGCATGTATCCTGTCATGGTAAGAAAGTTGTGATAAATTCAGAAGTTAAGACTTAGAAAAAATAGAGGCTCACTGGCTTTGCAGAGCTACAGTATCTAACCACACTGCTGGTCCAAAGACCAAGGCCTAGGTATATTTACTTGTTCCTAATCATGTATGGGCCAGGAGCAACCACCAGGAAACAAGACCATTGCAATCATTCTGCCCAGAGGTAAGTTACATTCTAACAACATGGCTTATGTTAATAGATCACAAGCCAAATGCTAAGCACCATCTTATCCACAGTACATGCATTCCATCCTTATCAGCACCTCTATGTTTCTCCACAGAGAAACCAAGACAAGGAAAGGATGTAAAACTGCTGAAGGTCAGAGTTACATTTTAAATCAAGATGGGCTAATCCCAGAGTTCCAGGTTTTTGTCTCAGATGCCACAGGATTTGCATATAATTTAAAAACTGGAGGGCCAGGGATTTAGCTCAGTGGTGCCGCCGCCTGCCTCCCAAACGCAAGGACCCAAGTTTTGGTTCCGGGGATACCAAAAAAATAAACAAACAAAAAAATAAATAAATAAAATAAAAACTGGAACTTTAAGAGGGAAAAAGCTGATGGTTCATTTTCAAAATGAACATTTGTACAAGGTAAATATCTACCTCTTAACACATGAGTTTTGCAAATCCAGGCTTGAGGGTGTGAGGTTTAATAAAAGTAAAACTATGGAATATTCCTTGGGAAGAGATGCTGAGAGACAGGAGTTCCCAAACTTGTACAGCACTGAAACCTGGAAGGGCAGTAATTTCGGGAGATCGGCAGGGAAATTTTGATTTAGAAAATCTAGGGTGGCGCCCCAAATTCTGATCTTTTTAAACTCTCCAGGTGATTCTGCTGCCCAGCCAGGCTTAGGAATCTCTGGTCTAGCCTATCTCCCTATCTTCCAGCAGGACTGCTTCCAAGGCAAACAGAAATCCATCCCCTACTTTTATTTCACAATCTCCCCTGGTTGCACACACCAGTGTTCCAAAGCTCTTATTGCCCCACATCCTAGCTGACTTCCATTCTCTCCTGACTTCACTAGAGGCAACGTCTGTCCTCTCGTCTTCTCTTTAATAGAGAACCATGAGTCATCAACACTTGCATCCACCCTGTGCCGCCTGACTCTCCAGGCCAGAAAAATTTACTGTACATGAGGAAATCAGGAAGTTGTAAAATCCAAACAGACACAAAGAAATTCAAGATTCAACAAATACTGATTGCCACTACCCGAACAAATAGTTCTCTGTTTTCCTACACATGTATTCTACTACATCAAAAATCTAAAACACGAAACCCGTGACTTAAAATATCTGCTAGCACAACATACTTAACTGCCTTAAGGAAAAGTGACAATTCAAATAGGTTTATGCCTCAAATGGTAATAAACAATCATCACAAAGACAAAGGCAGATTTCCTCTTGAACCAACTAAATTAAGCCAAAAAGACAGAAGCCTTAATCCAAGCTTTAAACAATAACTATCTGGAAAATGTTTCAATTTCCCACACAATAGTTTGCAAAGAAAATCCTATTCAACAGTCAACAAAGTGCTAAAGCATGGCCACTAGGAGGATTTCCCAGGTCAGACTTCATCCTCAGGTAGAGAACAGACAGCGTGGCAGGGCTCTCACCTGACATGTGACGCTCTTCCCCGCAGTGATAGTGGAGCAGGTGACTGGGGGCCAAGGATGGCAGGCAAATCTGCAGCACGAATGAACCACCCTGGTGACTTGCTGTTGCACGATGCTCCTGCAGTCACCCATGGAGCACAGGAGAGGAAATCCAAAATGAAAAACAGAATAAGCTGCATTAAAAACAAAGGCCACCTTAAGGGGCTATGCACTGAAATACGAATTTTAAAGACATCAAACTTTGCATTTTGTTTTATGAGAATTACAAAGATACCAGCCAGCTCCAAAGGAAGGTCTGGTTTTATTCCCAGGACTGAAAGGGAGGCCAGCACATAAAAAAGGTCATCCCTTCGGTTAAATTAAAAAGTTCAATCTCCCCATTGATTCAGCCACAGTGATTCTTTTCTCCAATGATTCTAGCCAAGCGATTGATAAACACATGCTGGTAATCACAAGGAATATCAGGTGGAGATGGGCATGGGTTGAATAGTAATTGAACCAAAGTCTAATTTTAATGTGGTATATATATATATAACCGACTCACATGCAACTTCACAGGACACAGCTACTGGCACATTAGCCCAGTGCGACAGAGAAAAAGTATAAAATGCAGAAAACAATTTGAAAGTGTACACAGGTTCACGGGATTTCCCACTAAACTTCGGAGTATTTCATCATCGAACATATGCCTATGTTATTTTGACTTTGCCACAATGCCTCATAGATGGTTAGGCAAAAATTATCCACTGTATGATACATGAGTGAATGTGTAAATGGATGAATGAAAGGAGAAATGAGTGAATCTTCCAGGTACCTTTCCATCAGGGAGCTTGGCACTTGTAGTACTTTTTGGGAGGTAAAGACCTATGCATAGAAATGGGAAAAGTTGAGGGCTTGATCTACTAACATATTTTTAACCCTTTCCATTAAAATCATATTTTTAAATACTGGTAATATCCATTTATCCACATTAAACATAAAAAAGTAACATAGTTATTATCAAATAATCCCCAAACTTATAAAAGCTGCACTGATTTTCAGGCTATGATTGCTGGAGCTGATCTGCATATTTGTTTAGGCTGATTTTAAATTTAATTTGGGTTCCCTAAGCTCACACCAGGTAACAGTAGGAAAGAGAAGGCCCAGAACTATATTGGGTGTCAGAAAGAAACTATTCTTGAGCTATGAATATGATCTCCAATGTGAATAATCTGTAAACAGGTAAGTGAGCCAATTATCCTTGGGTACATGGCAACACATCTCAGCAGTCATGATTATTTTCATCCATACACACTATTTTTAAGAGCACAGCCCAGCTGGAAAGGAAAATAACTTCCATTTCTTTCCAGCACTTTTCAAAGTAATGAATAGTAGCCAGAGTATTCTTCCTTCTAACTAATCCATTCACCAAGCACTTATTTTAGCCTCTATTGAATGCCTAGGATTGCTCTGCAGAAGTAATTTTTCTCATCCTTGGTTTCCCCACATGTAATCTGTGTGTGCAGAGAAGGAAGGCAAGTTGATGTGAACTATAATGTCCTTTAAGTCCTTAGAAGACACAGTCCTTCCACCAACAAGTCTGTCGAGTTACAAATTCAAACAGTGGCCAAGTTAAATAGAAGTTCACAAAAACCTATTTCATCTTACACAGACAGTATTTCTTTGATTTTTATCTGATAACATTTCAAAGGACGCTTCAAAATACTCGATAATCGTTTTCCAGCCAGCTGCAGGTACTGCAAAATTGTAGATAGCAGTCTATGAGCTCACAGTTGGGAGAGGGTTTGCTTGTATATCGATGTGTGTGCACACAATTCTATTTACATAGCACCTGGCAGATAAGGTTTTATAGAGTCCAAATTACAGTCTCCTCCCATTCTGCTGAAGTGCAGGGAACAGTCAAATGTGATGCAAATGCTGTAAAATATTAATTTATTCTCTCACTGGTATGCCTATTTCTTTCTAAAGCATTTGTGTTGCTACACTAGCTTCAGTAATAGAGTTAATGTGACTTGTTATATTCCATCAGACAGAAGAAATACAAGAATACGCACAAGTCAACGTGGATTTGTTGCAAAACATACAAACAACAGAAACAAATAACCTATAGAATATTTTCTATACTGATGTACACTCAAAATGGAACCTTTAAAATTTCAAAAGCACAGCAAAGCAACATAACACAATACTAATATCTAGAAAATGGCACAAATAATACAGATATGATGAAATATAAAATCCAGGGGAGAATGTGGGAAACAGGGCCAAAGCAAAGTGCACAATAAAAGACAATTTCCCATACACACTGACAGAGAAATGCATTTTCTCTGAACATTAGAAATGCAAACACTTATAGGTTAACAGCTGTGACGAACAGTACTAAAAACTCCCCTTGAGTAACTCCCTGGACAAGGGCACTTTAGTGGAGAAAAAGGGTTCCTCCTAGTCCAAACCAGAACACCATGATCAGGGGAACCTCTGCCCCCTTAAGTCTCAAATTCTGACTGCACTACAATGAATTGTGTAAAAAGTGGTTTCCAGGTAGTACACAAGTTTTGCTTACATTATGGCAATTATGATTGCATTTTCATTACTCCACAAATGGAATGCATTAAAAGTTACAGGAAAAATCAATGAAACATTTATACTAACATCAAATATGTCAAACAAAGTATAATGCTTATTGCTTTTTTGTCTGTAACAGTTCTAAACATGTTTTAGTATATGTGCAACAGTGATAATACCTAGCATAAATATTTATAGTACATTAGCCTGAAAGTTTCAAATTTATGAGGATTATAAAACACATCTCTACACTAAGGACGAAATACATAAATATAATTATGCAAGAAGAAAAAAGAAAACACCGTTCCCACAAATAAAGATAGTTTACCTTCACAATATTCTTTTTATTACTTCTTCAATTTTAAGGATACATGTTTTCAAAAACTTGATCCCACTGCATTTCTTTTAGCCAACTGTTTTGCAATGTTGTAACACTTACTTGCACCCTACATACTCATTATTTTTCTACATCTCCAAGAACATGTACACGAGTCCATTTATTTCATTAAACTACATTAAACGAAACTAAAACAAGAGCAATTTCGTTTCTCAAATTCAAATCTCAAACTTTCCTATCTTAAAAGCAAGTGAGGTACTTTTTGTAAGTTCTAGGACAGTTCTTACCTCTGTGGCGTTTCCTACAATTTCCTGTTTTCAATGCATTCAAAAAAATAAGGAGGGTCTGCTTCTAATGACCCCTGAAGTAAATCCATTCTTTGAAGCAATTAAACTGCATGGACCTAAATCTCTTAGAGAAGCCTGTCACTCACAAGACTGCATTACACTAAATAATAAAGCAATGTAAGTCAAATAATTTGTCCCCCCAAAAGTGATAGCATGTGTTGCTATATTATGTCACCTTACCATTTAACGTATTTAAGCTGTGCAGGGCCTCAACTATGTTACTTTCAGATAACCACAGTTTAAATAATATTCACCCCACATTCACCTACTTCCATGAGTTTCAGGGTTTTAGGAAAACACGTTTATTGACTAACTTCTAATAGGAAACACAGTGAGCCGGGTGTTAACACTGTTAGTCATCAGAAACTGTCACTCAATGCTTTTGCAGAGGCAAAATCCACTTGACATTTTAGAAGAAAAAAAATAAAGGCACATTATACGGAAGGAATATGAGTCCTTCAACTCTATAATAACAACAAAAACAGGAGCCGTAGAAGTGTTTACTAATATTTTAATAATCTCTTAATGCTGCCTTTTCTCTGGACTCTCACACAGCTGAATAAGGTAGGCTGAAACTTAGGGCCATTTCCCAACATTTGACATATAATCTGATGGCTAAAGGAGTTTTTTTTGTTTGTTTGTTTGTTTTTTTAAGCATTTTCTAAAAGACAATTTAGAGGCCTAAAGCCTCTTTGAAATATTTCCAACACAATACCACCTCTGTTTATCAAACCCTCTTAAAACAAAATCTAGAGAGGAAAAATATTGTCTTTTACAGTTTCCATTTGAGTACAAACATTTTTTGTACTCATTCGAGCATGGCTTTATTTGTACACTGAAAAATACATGTCCACACTGTACTGCCAAAAAAGTAACTTTCTGTATTTTGCAAAATATAATCCAGGTCTTCCAAGACAGTGTGTAAAACTTAAACTCCTGTGCCTTCTTCTATTTCCCTGCTTCCAATGTATTTACCTCCTACAAATAATAGCTCATTTTAATCACAGCAACAGCTTCATCTGACCAGGCCACAGTGAATTTACCTCCTGCACTTACTGACCAGACCTGGAAATTCATAAAACTCCTGTGCTGAGAGTTAGTGGCTCACTCAATCCTGGTGTGTGTGGGTGCGTGGAGGGGTAGTTTACCTAGACAGCCATAAAACTATAAACTGACTGGCAGGGTGACAACTAAATCGTGACACTATTATTCTCAATTATTGTTTCTTCCAAGTATCACAGTTACAAAAACATTCCTCCTGACTTGGACTGCTGGAGCAACACAGTTCTAGCAACTCAAGACACTGTCCTGTTTTCTTTTTTGCTGTAGTATTCTTTTTCTTGGCCTAGCTGCCTTTATTCATAAGAGGATGCCCTAATCTAAAGACAAGAATGCTGCTCTTGAAATGTTCATTAAATTATATCCTAAAATGGACTACAAGCCGTTTGTTGTGCAAAAGCACCATGCATGCTCAGTCTACTAGCTACAGGCTTGTATTATCTCTCACCTGAGAAAATAAACGTTTTCAATCATTGCTGAAGATCACTTGAGATCCTGGCCAACAGATTTAGATTAAGAATACATTTAAAATGTCTGCTTACAGTCAGTGCCAGCTTTTGTAATGATGGCTGCGGAGTTTTAAAATGTGTCAATAGGCATATATTTCCCAAATAAGTTACTTCCTACAAGCAAAGCTTTTAGAAAGCCAGTCATCGGGAGCAAGAATGTGAGTCCTAAAGGAAGGGTTTCTCTTCACACAGCAAAGGGTTAAGTGCCTACAAGGCCAAAGGCACCAGACTGCAAAAGAAATGTTGCTTTACTAAGCTCTGAAAGGTTTCTAACAAGTACCAAATACTTGTTGATCTGTTCACAATAAACACCAGCAGGACTGTCAGGCTCCTTTCACTGTCTGGGGAGGTGCATTTACATACTGTACCCAGTGAGAACAGCTAGTCGGTCTCCTTTATAAAAGTTAAGTAGCTAGAAGCCTCATTCAGTGTCTCCCATCCAAATGACTGAAAGAAGATGCAACTGAAATAATGAAGCCTGCCTTGGGCAGCACAAATACTCTGCATAGAACACTCGGAGTAGTTCAGGCAAACCCACCTGAATGGAGGGAGAACACTGTGTGTTGCCATGGCAGCCTGATCTAATTACAGGAGTAATCAGGGTTGGAGTAAGTGCCCGGAAAACCGACACCACTGACACCATCCGCATGATGAGAAAGACAGGAGGGCAGAAGGTTCGGGGGAACCCTTCAACCTCTGCTTTATGTGGAAGGTGGCATTCAAGCCCATTTATTTGCAGAGCTACTAAAATATTGACTGATGCACACACAGTTAGAGGGCGATCGGAGGAGATTAAATGCCACAGCATTAGTTGCTGTGGCGCAATCCCTTTCCAAGAGTTCATGGGCAGGATTTTCTCTTCTCCTCTGTGGCTTCCTCTGGCACAATCTTCATTCACCCCAAACCCCTAAGTATCAAACTATCTTTACACCCTAAAATAAACCAGAGGGTGGGTTGAAGGGGGCTTCTAGGAACTGCACGTTTCTTCAGAAACTCAAATAGATATGATTTAGCTAACAGTCGAAAAAGTAACTAACTAGCTCTGCCTAAAAATAACCAGCCAGTACCCACTGCTACGTGCGATAGATAAGGATGATGTTTAAATATTAAGAACATCCTGCATTATAAAACACAAACGTCATTGAGATGTGACTACTAGATTGCCAAAGGAGAACTTATTTGCATACACACATTCCCTTGCACGGAGAACGCCGCTCGAAGGCATTAGTTTTTATTCTGTGGGTCTTCTAATTTTGCCAATTGTATCCTGTGGATCTAGCAGGGAAACTAAAAAACCTCTTCGGGGACAGAACCAGTTTGGAGGAGTCCCTACAGCACAACATACGGTAAACAAAATAAAAATAGCTTGCCGTTCTTGTTAGCCACATCGCGCATTATATAACCAGCTTCCGAATTGCTTTTTTTTTTTCCGCCCTTACTACTCTTCAGCAATTTTCCAATCTTCCCAAGTATTTATATTACCCTCTTATCTGTAGGGTTATAGACCAAGAAAGCAAAACAAAACAGAGCAGCCACGGGATCAAACCGAACCCTACGCTCTTTGAAACCGATTTTTTTTTGGGGGGGTTGGTTTTGTTTTCTGGCGGAGTCTTGATCACCACCCTACTTCCACCCCCCACCAAGGTTCTCGCTCAGTCTCTCTAGAAAACCTTAATTGCTTCATCGCTTCCAGTCAGCCCGGTACGTGGTCTGAAATAAAATGAAAGCGCAAGCCGCTGACTTGAAGAAGGCGGCCTGAGGGCGGGGGGCTTCGGAGAGGTCGAGACGCGGCCGAGTCCAAGTGGCCCCCGGGG